TACACGTGGCCCATGGCTCCCATTTTGGACAATGCATATATAGAACATTTCCATCATTGCAGAAGTTCTGTTGGACGGGCTGCACTGTGTTAGCATCCCATTTCGCAGCAGGGACATTGTGGACTAGATCAGTGGCTCGGCACACTCCTCTCCTGGAGGAGAGGGAGCTGGATGCAAACCTGGGCCCATCAGCTTACAGCTCTCCTTTATTGCCAGCTCGGATGCCTCCCCTTTTCACGTACTGTCCATGGGCTCCTCAAGGGCAAGGGCTGTATTTGCTCTGTACTCCAGTGCCCGACCCAAGGCCTGCCCCAGGGGGGTACTTGGGGCAGTGTTTGCTGAGTGGGTGATGGAATGAATGACTGAATGAGCACTGCCTGCTAAAACTTAGAGGTACACTTAACTCCCCTCCTGCTGGAGGAGGCACAGAGCCAGCTGCTGAGGGGTGATGGATGGCGCCTCTCCCAAGATAAATGTGGCAGTCGAGGTAATCGGATTGTGTGTGTGACGGTCTAATTTGTAGGCAAGGGTAGGAAGCGCCAGCCATGCCTCACCCCAGCCGCCCATATTAGTCTAATCAAATGCCCAGTATCTAAATAACTGGGCCCCAGTGATGGATGATGTGAGCTTTGTTAAATGCTGTTGCCCTGTCAAGCCAAACTTCCCAAGGCCCTGCCAGGCTCCTGGGCTCTCTAATTTGTTTTTTCTTCCTTGATTATCTCTGTGTGGGGCAGGGAAGAGGGGCTAGGACTCTTCTGTCTGTCTTAAGTCTCTGGTTTTTCAGGAAGGAGGAGGAAGAGGCCAGAGTTGGGGGAGAAGTGAGATGAAGCCACCTTCTGCCTCTTCTGAGAAGTCTTCCTTTGTCGCTGCAGACAGCCTTGGGGAGCCCGACTCCCCAGAGCCCTTGAACCTGGGCCTCATCACCATGCACTGTGTCCTTCTCTTTCAGACTCTCCTGCCACCCTGGGCTAGCCTTTTCATTCTCTTAATGGTGTATTTTGGTATGCCAGAAGGTTTTCACTTAAATGTTGGAAAATTTATCAACTTTCCCTTATGGTTAGTGCTTGTTGTGTCCTATTTGAGAATATTCTCCAATCCCAGGGTCATGGAGATATTCTCCTGTGTCATCTTCCAGGCAGTGTATTGTTTCGCTCTTTTTTTTTGTCTGTGGTGTGAGGTAGGGGTCAAGTTTCCAGTCTGGTCATTCTGAGCTCTGAGCATCTGCCATGTGCCCCAGACCAGGCAGGGTCCTTGGAGAGACAAGAGGTAGAAGAGGCACAGTCCTGTCCTCCAGGAGTGACAGTCGTTTTGAGCTGAAGCATGTGTTCTTAAAAAGGAACTTGAGGGGCCGCCCTGGTTGCGCAGCGGTTAAGTGTGCACATTCTGTTTCAGCAGCCCAGGGTTCGCCGGTTTGGATCCCAGGTGTGGACATGGCACCACTTAGCAAGCCATGTTGTGGTAGGCGTCCCACATATAAAGTAGAGGAAGATGGGTTTGGGTGTTAGCTCAGTTCCAGTCTGCCTCAGAAAAGAGAGGAGGATTGGCAGATGTTAGCTCAGGGCTAATCTTCCTCGGGTGGGGGGAGGGAATGGAACTTGAGAACAGCACGTACACCTTGCTACCTTCTGCATCAGGGTGGGATCCCCGTACACACTGTGCCTGTGCCCAGTGCTTCTGTGGTGTTGGTTGTCACTGTATGTCTGTATGTCAGGCATTGTTCTAGGCTCTGAGGATGTGGCCATGACCGCAGCACACAGAAACCCCTGCTCTGGAAGACCTTTTGCTCCAGTGCAGGGGGTGGGGTGTCAGATGGTAAATAAGATAAAAAGTAGAAGGTAGTAAGTGCTCTGGAAAGCAGTTCAGCGGAGGAGGGATGTAGAGGAGTCAGCTGGCGGAGGAGGAGTTGCAGTCTATAAACTGGAAAGGTCAGGGAAGCCCTGGCTGAGCGGAGGAGGGGGTGAACCACGTGGATTTCCAGGGCCAGAACCTTCTGGGCAGACATTGCAAAGGCTGTGATATATGCAAATAACATAAGAACTCTGGAAGGAAAACCCAGAGCCATTCGTGTGATTCCCCTGGTGAGAGGAACTGGGCAAGAAGAGTGAGTTGGGGAAGACTGTTCTTCAGTACATATCTTTTTTTCTACTTCTGTACATTTTTAATCATGTGCACACATTACTTCTTTAAAATAACATTTAAAAGTTAAGAAGGGAGGGTGGTGAAATGCAACAGAGGTGGAACCATCAGATGGAATAGAAAAACTATGGGTTTGGAGGCCAGCGAATGTGAGCCCTAAACCCTCTTCTGGTCTCTGTCTGAAGTGTTAGCTTTCTAAAGAGAATGGATTTGTGTATTACTTATGTAAATAAAAAGTAATTTCATTAGTTAAAAATAAATAGATCCCACTCTGCCAGTTGTTTTGGCTGATTCTCCTTGGGTAGGTTCCTTAACCTCTCTGAGCACCAGTTTCATCCTGGAAAATGGGGGTTGTGATCCTGGCATCACAGGCTTGTCAGGAATGTGAACAAAGAAAAGGGATGTGTCAAGTTTCTGCCTGGCCTGCAGTTGACCTTCCCGAGGGCATGTCCCTGCATGGGCCAGCTCTCTTCATGGCAGAGGCAGAGAGTATATCCCTGTCCTCAGATTCTCCAAGGGCTGGAGGTCCCAGGCAGGCCCAGGCTCTGCATTCCGGCTCCCACAGAGGCAGTTGGATTTGCTCTGGACTCCCAGACTGACAGCCATCCTAGATGCTTTGGCCCTGCTGGGTGGTCAGTTGGGAGAGTGCAGGCCTTCAGAGCCACCTCAGGATCCAGCTTGCCCAACTGGGGTCTGCTTGGCTGGGGCCAGCTGGTCATTTGGCTCCAACAGCCGTCTCTGCCCAGTGTTTCCTTCTCTCTGGGTGCTGTTAATTTTTTATGGCCTCCATCAGAGGCAGAAGGCAGAGAGCTGTTTCCTGCAGGGAGAGAGCAGGCACTGGAAGGGGGAGGTGGGAGGGAGAGCCAGTGGTGATTAAACACTGCAGAGACCTAAACAAATGATGGCTCCCTCCCCTAGTTGCTCTGAAAGAGACACAGGGAGCCAGGCCTGAACTGCAGATGGCCCAGGCTGCTGTCTTCCCCCGCCTGCCTGCACAACTGTTCTGGGGCTGCTTCCTGAGAGCCACAGCCATGCTGAGCTATGCAGGACCTAACTCAGCCCTTCAGCCACTTGGTGCGGCAGGCCCCAAGGCAGGGAGGGCACAGGGCACACTAGCACACGAGCAAGCGGTGGAGCCGAAAACTGTGTTATGGGGAGATGGTAGTAGTTATCTCACAGAGTGTAGGCTTGAATGAGACAGGGCGTACAGAGTGCTGAGAAAACTGCCTGGCCTGAATCAGGTTCTCCGTCTGCAGTAGCCACTGTCAAGCTTGCCTCGTTACTCCTTTAGAGCAGCTAGTGAGATACCTTTACATGCAGGTGAAGAAACCTGCCAGGGTCTTGCCCAAGACCACACAGTTCATAGCTAGTAGATAAAACCCAGGCTCACTCATTCCTGACTCCCTGCCCAGTGCTCTTTCTCCTGTACCAAGGCCAGGAAGAGAATCCGGGGTCAAACCTCCAGGGCCTTGAAAACAAAGAAAGGGTAAGTCAGCAGCAGTGTTGGAGACCATCAGCCAAGCACAGGGTTCTCTTGGCATGAGAGCTTGTGCATATTCTGAACCCACAGGGGAAAGGAAGGAATGGTTCCCTCCCCCTCCATTCATGCAGCAAATGGCACCTGAGCTCACCCCTCAGTCTAGGGCAGTGGTTCTCAAAAAGGGGTCCCCAGACCGTCAGGATCAGCATCACCTGGGAACTTGTTAGAAATGCACATTCTCAGGCTCCACACTGGACCCACTTGAAGCCAACAACCCACTGGTGGTGAGGCTCAGCACTCTGTATTTTTACAAGCTTTCCAGATGATTCTGATGCACTGGCAAAACTGGGAACCTCTGCCCTGGAGACCCAGGTGGTTCAGTCCTGCCCTGGGACCTCACCATCCGGGACTCAGACTCACCCAGACGTCACCCAGGTGTGTTACACTCTGAGTAACAAGTGCAGCTAGGAAACACTAGATGTAAATGGAATTCTCATAAACGATTCTTATTTTCATTGCAGCAAGGCAGCTGGACATTTAAAGAAACCTCACAGGGAATCATTTCATCACATAAAGCAGCTTCTGCAAAGAAAAATGTCCCCTCTTGTTTCCTGTCCCCCCCACCGCAAGTGTTCTGTAAATTCAGTCTCTATGTCAGGTTCTCTTCAAATGCTGTCTACCTATACATAACTAAAACTAGTGGATAGTGTGCTAAAAGAGTGACAAATAGTCTCCAAAATGCATCAGGGACCCCTGCAGTTTAGAAGGAGAGCCCCGTAGGACAAATGGAGGCCACTCTGGTGTTTCAAGCAGCCCGGTCATCCACTACCAAACCCTGCTGGGCATCTGGAGAGGTCGTAACTGCCGGGCATGGGTGGTTTCCAGAGCTTCAGCAAACATCCACACTCAGGGTTTCTCAGAAAAGGAGGGGAGTGACCAATTAGGAAGCCAAGACATAGAAATGTGAAATGTGCAGGTGAGCTACTGCTCTTGCTGAATAAATGGATAAGAGAGAAAACCCGGTGACACGATTTTGGATAGAGAACGCACTGGAAGGTTGTCATCTCCCACTGTGCAGGATCAGGAAGGAGCATCTCAGTCTCCACTGAATGTCGCTCAAGAGGCCAGGTCATGTGCCCCTGAGCTAAAACACCTGCCTGATTTCCAGAGGGACTGCAGCTCGAGCAGGAGCCCTGCCTCTGCCACTAAGCCACCTGCCCTGTGGCTCAGGCCTTACCCTCACAAGCCTGGGGTGGGAAGAAAGGAATCGCCCTCTGCGTTTCTTGAACCAGGAAGCTGAGATTCTTGGAGGTTAACCAGGTCACCTAGCCAGGGGAAGCAGGGAAGGAGGGAGTGGGTGGGGTGGGGTGGGGGGTCCGGTCAGCAGGTTTTTCCTGAATCTCTTCTTTCTCAAAGAGCAGCGAGTGGCCTGAACCCAACTTGGTAGTCGAGGGTGTGGATCAGCTGGCAAAGTGCTGCCCGGCCCAGATCTCTCTCCTGCCCCTGTCACTGTAGCACACACCTCCTCAGTCACTCTTTAGGGCTGAGAGTCTTTCCAGGTAGTTCCTTTATAGAAACTAAGGTGTCCTGGGATTGGCACCTCCCAAGCTTTAGTCTCAGGACCAGGACCCTGGGATGGTCTACCCTGGCTTCATGAGCCCAGGCTGGGTCTAAGGAAATTGCCATTTGAGGCACCCCTGATTTGTCGCTGGCTCCTGGCTCACAGGAAGAGCCAAGGGCCTGGGATTGGATATGGGGGCCAGAGCGAATGGAGGGAATGCACAGCAAAGCCTCTCAGTGCTCAGACTCACAGCTCCCTTGGGGTCCATGAAGGTGGATGGCTGTGGTGTTCTCGGGAGTCTGGTTGACCCTGGAAAGGGCCTGGCCTCACACTGACCTCTCCTTCTTATGCTGGGAGTAGACGACACAGCCAAACTGACTACCTAGCAGGGAAGCCTCAGAAAAGTAAATTACCCAGGGAAGAAACTGATTCCTATAACCCCTCCTTAACCCTCGGGCTTCCTGAGAAGAAGCAATGGGCAGTGGTGTTTAGCTCCCAGGAGAAACTTCATGAAGAATAGAAAGCAGGCTCTCAGGTAGCATCTGCTGGAATGACGGGCGTGCAGGCTGTGTGGGTCCTGGGGACACGGCTCCTGTGGAGGCAGGGCGAGGGTGGCTCCGTTCTTGTCTTACAGACTCAACGGGAGTGTCGTCCCATCGCCTGCAGCGTGTGGGGAGCATCCTTGCTGCCCTGTATCCTTGCCCTCATCCTGTTTGGGTGCTGCCTTGAAGCTAGATGGAGGTGGGGAGACTCTTGGCTCTAGGCATACCCCGCTATGGATGTTCTGGTCAATCCCTGGGTAGCCAAAGAGATCTGTCCTGTGTCCTTCTGGAATATGAGGACAGGTGCACAAGAGGCCTCTTGGCCTCAGTCTGTTGTGGGGGTGGCTCAGGCCCCTCTTGCCTGGCTAGCACACTTGCTTTGCTATTAATGCTGTATAATTTTCAGCTGAGGTGGTCAAGATCCCCACCTTTGCCCTGCTGCCAGCAAATACCCTGGGTAAGATGAGAAGGTCCTGCTTTGCTGCTGGCCTGCCATAAGTTCAAGGGTGCCCTGAGCCACTTACCTTGCTTTCCTGTGCTCACCCCTCATGTCTAACATGGGGGCTGTGACTCCCCCACAGCCAGGTGGCTTGTGTGGGTCCAGGGGGCAAGGGGTGTATGAACCAGTCCTTCGAGGGGGTGGAGTACACAGTGGCGGCTCCCTGCCGGCTGGTGTCTGGACCTCAACACTTTGGCTGGCAGGACTCAGGGGCACCGCCCAGAACAGGGCATTCTCTTTCTGACGAAAAGCCTCCCAAGCTTGTTATGAGTGTCTTTTCACTTGAAGCTGAGTTATCCAGGAAGGCCCAGATGGTGGTGTGAGGTGGGCAGGGAATTTTCAGGCTGGGATTTTCCTAAAGCCTACAGACAGGCTCAACCCGTCTGGCATCTCCTCTTGGGTCCGAGCATCCTGCCCTGAGGCCTCTGCAGAGTGAGGCGCGGCCAGACCGGTTTGGGAATCAACCCTGCTGTCTCCAAGGTCCCCCAGAATTCAGTTCCCAGATGAGGTCACACACCTTGAGACTCCCAGCTCCTGCCAACCAGGTAGCGCTTGGGGAGGGGAGTGGGAGCGTGCGAGGAGCCTTCCGGAGGGAGGGCTCTTGAGGAGTCCCTCTCGGGCCAGGCTGGACTGCAGGACCTTCAAGCATGAGGAAGCAGGTAGGGCCCAGCAGGGCAGGCCATGAGCCTCATTCACATCCTGGGCTGACCAAACCATCAACCTGGTCAGTCCTCCCTTCACATGGGGCCCAAGCGTGTGCGTGGACGAGAGGGGTGGACAGAGATGGAGAGGGACAGGGTCACTCACAGCTGGAGGGCTAGCGGACAATTCATCCCTGTTTTAACTTTCCTACTCACAGTCTGGGAGATAACAGAGCAGAGTGTGGGAATGCTCTAGAAAAACCAGCAGTTGAAACTCAGGGCACCGTACTGTTGCTGCTGGTGGTAATGCAATGATACAGCTGTTTTGTAGGAGAGGAAGATTTTCCCCCAAGGAAAACATCTCTGTTCCAGGGGTCAGCTGTCAGGGCCACCAGAATCCACTCTACAACCCCCAGGAATGATGTCTCCTGTAATTAGGGGGACTGCCTAACAGTGGCCCCAGCAGCTGAGGCTACAGAGTTCTCCCCTCCCACCTGCCCCGGGGCCCCCTCACTCCTGGGTCCTAAACACACCAGCTGTAGGACCTCAGCAGATCCACTCCCTGCTGTCAGCTCTAGGCACCTGGGCAGGGTGAGATCTCTGGAGCCCTTTCTATCTATAGCCCATACCTGGGGAGGGGCATGTCCAGGCCAGGTGTGAGGATGGCCAGCTCATCCCATAGCACCTACAGAGTGAGAAGAAGTCAAGGCTGGCCTCAGCCCTGAGAAGCGTGACCCTGCTGTGAGACCAGGGCTGATTCATGGGGCCACAGACTTCAGAGAACACAGCGCCCACCCCCTCTTTGACATATGGCCCAGAGAGAGGAGGAAGTTGTCTGAGGTCACACAGGAAGTTGGTAGCAGACTGGGGACAAGAAGCTGGGATAGCGATGAATCACAGGAATGGGAGGTGGGCGGGATGTGCTGAGCCATCTCCTGGGGATGTGCCTGCTCTCAGATATGTGGCATGACAGACTTCGGAGGATAAAAGGGAAACCATCCTGCATCAGCAGCAGGGCCCCTGCCCTGTGGGGTGACTGTGGTTGAATCATCCCCTCTTGGGCCTCGATTTCTGTTTCGTAAAACATGGACATCCACATCCAGCCTCTCGCCTGGGGATTTGTGAGACCCAGATGAGGGAGAGGTTGCAGGCAGTAGGGAAAAACGAAGGGCTGTCTGTGTGCCCTCATGATCCCCTTAGGTCCTCCTAAGGAGTAGGTGAGCAGGGCCCTAATGGTCATCCCATTTTAAAGACACACACACGTGGCTCCAGGCTGCCCTGCTGGGTCAGTGGCCACATTAGGGCTGACGCTGGTCTCTGGAGGCTGAGCAGCCTCTGACTGCCCCTGGCTCCCACCCTTCCGTGGTCATGAGCATCCTGTGCTCTTTCCTCCGGGGAGGAGATGACCCAAGAGAACTGGCAGGGAGCGGGCCCATTTTCCATTTCTGGGGACACCCAGCAATGGCGGGCCTACAGGGGAGGGCACAGTAACAATTCTGTGGGTAGCTCTATTTTCAGGGGTCATGGGCCAGAGCAGGACGGCTGTAAAGTCTGCCCCAGCCCCCACGCCCAGGCGCCACTGAGAGAGGAGTCTGCCTTGACTGGCCGCTGGCACTGCATGACCCGAGAGCTGAGTCAGAAGTGAGCTCAGTCAGGGCTCAGTTCCATGGAGGCCTCGGGTCTGCTCAGTACAGAGTGTCTGGCAGGGAAGACACTGGGTGTGGGCACAGCTGGGTGCTAGGGAGCACCCAGTGTGAAGGAGGAGGTACAAGGCTGGGCCCGAGGCATATAAACATTTTTATGATCTTGGAGATGGGTGAAAGGAAGGGTATTTTATTAGAGGAACAGCACATAGATGGGGAAAGAGAAACCTCTTAATCTTAAAGGGACATGTGCTCAAAAACAACAACAGAAACAGTAATAGTTTATTTTCATATAATCCTTCCTATATGACAGGCCTTGTACCAGCATTTTATGTGTATTAGATTGTTTAATCCTCATGACTTTAGGAGGTAGGGTAAGATTTATTATTCCTATTTTACAAAAGGGAAAACCAGAGCAAGCAGATGTTAAATAACTTCCCAAGGTCACACAGCTGCTAAATGTCTGACCTGGGATCTGAACCCAGGTGACCTGGCTCCAGTGTCTGTGCTCTTGGCCACTCTGCCATCTGGAGGCAGGAGGTAGTCAGCATTTCACAGCTTCTGGGTTTCCAGTTGAGACTCTGGCACAACATGTGCCATTTCTCACATGTCACGTAAAGCTCAGGCCCTTCCTTCATATGGGGACTTCTCATGGCAGGCCTGTGTGCAGAGGTGCCTCTGCTGTCTCCCCACTTTACAGATGAGACAGAATAGCCCAGGCCCGTGTCATCTCAAACCCCCATGTCCTCCTCCCCCTTCCCCTCCCCTCCCCTCCCAGCCCCTCCCCACTCCTTCTCTGCATGGGTTCCCAGGTGTAGGCAGGAGTCTCCACTATCTCTGACCCTCTGGGCAATGGTGCCAGGACCCCTTGTTTGGGGGATGAAAAAGGAAGGTCAGAGGGTAGGAGGGTGTGGCCTGGGTGTGGGAGACAGGAGGAGGAGGCTCAGGGAGCCCTAGGTGAGGTAGTCTAGGAAGGCCCTCCGTCTTCCCCTGTGGGACAGACAGTGTTAAGATGAACACTGATGTCAATCCACAAGCAGAGAAAAAACCAGGGCTGCAGCGCCTCCAAAGTTTACGAGCTGATGTTGTTTCTGTAAACTCTTACCTTTCATTCCCTATTTCAGTGTGGCCCACCAGTGGCTGTGCATGTCGCTAAATCAGTGTCATTTGACTCAGTTGTAGGTTTTGCTTGATAACAGCACCAATCTCTAGATGCACCCATGATAGGATTCCATGCAGGGTTGATGCTCCTGAGGTCAGTCCAGGTCCCAAGGAATCGGGAGATGCCAGCAGGTTTAAAAGCCACAGGGTGCCAGGTCACAGGCACTTCGCTGATCATCTGGGTCTCAGACAGCGTACTCACTGTCTGTCCATCTTTCCCACCTTGTCGAATATCGGTTTATCTAGCTGTGATTCATTTCAACCCATTAGTTGTGTGTTGGCTGCATGGCCAGTGCCAAACACCATGCTGGGGACCGGGGTTGGAGAAGTGAACCCTGTGAATCCCACTGGGGCTCTCGGCATTCACGCCCTCCTTACCAAACACCACATCTTTCCCCTTGGTAGCCTGGCTCTCTCACTCTTTTCTGCATCCATTGAGCATCTACTGTCTCCCAGGCCCGGTGCAGCCTCTGGGGACACAGATTGGAAACTGGTGATCAGAATACACGTGTGGAAAAATTCCTCCTAGCCGCCTTGCAGAGTGGATTGGCAGGAGGCAGTTTGGAGACTGAGAAGAATGATAGGAGGCACTTGTCATAATTCAGCAAGAACAGACAAGGCTGCAGAAGGTGATTGGAACAGGCAAGAAGCAAAGGGGACACACTGCAAAGATAATCAGGCCACGATGACATGTGGGTGGGGCAGGGCAGGGACATCTGCTTGATTTGCTCCCTGGCAATTCCAGTGGGTATGGGAACAGGGACTTGGACGTGTGGGGAGGAAGGCGGAGGGGAGGAGCCCGGTGCAGAGCCTGGTTCTTTGCCCTGACTCACCAGGCAAGGCCCTCCAGATGCCTGTGCCAGGCTTCCCATCAGGAAATGGGGCCACCAGGCTTCTGCTGCCACTTCAGAGGGTCTTGTGAGCTGATGGTATGGAAGCATTTGAAAATGTATCGTTAATGTTTTTAACAGAACAGTGAACCCCGCTTGCATGCTCTCGGGAGCTCTTTCTGCCTCATTCTGCCTGACTCTTCCTCAACCCTCCCTCAGGGTATGGTTGGAGCCTTGGCTGCTGCCTGGAGGGCCTCCTCCTGGGCACCCCTGGGTCTCAGAAGCTCCTCCTCCCCCCCCACCCCACACACACACACACACACACAGAGTTCCTCTGTTCTACAGCAGCCTTTTAGCTGCTAAGATGCTCTCTGATACTGAATACGCCTTTGTTTCATTTTGTGTGTAGTTTCTCCAGTCTGCAGCACATTTGATAATTCTCTTGCTTGGCCCTTACATCCAGTCCAGGTCTCTGTACCCTCCTCCCCAGAAGGCCTTTCATCCTCCCCATGCACCCCACTATTGCTCCCATCCCTAACCACTTCCCAGACTTTACTGGGGATGAGCATCCCAGGCCTCTCACTGAACATCCCCCTGCTCACCTCCTTAGGGAACAGAAGGCTTTTTTCCTCTGGCCACATGGCTGCCTCTGGTTTCTGGCTCCTTTTTAAGCCCGAGTCCACCCTAGTGAGGGACAGCCTTTCACATGTGCCCGGGGGAGCCTGTCTGCCCTTTTGATGCTTGACTCTCAGACCCCAGCCTCTGCCTCCCCTCCACTTCCCACCAGCTCATTGTCTGCTGGTGACCCGGCTGATCTGGGGAATGCAGCTCCACCCTCCCTGCCTGGAACCCAGGCAATTCCCAAATTGGGTGTGCAGCCTCTTCCTTCCACTTTCTCTCTGGTACCTACCACAGCTGAGACCAGTGGCCCCATGCTAGTCTGGTCAACCTGTCCCCTCTGCCAGGAGCTGCAGCTACAGAGGCAAATGCAAGACCTGTCACTGTCCTCAGGGAGGGCACATCTGGGACAAGCCAGGACTAAGATGCCCCAGGACTCCACTCCAGACCTGCCCTCACTCTTACACCTGGTTTCTTTTTTCTTTCCCCTCGAGGACACTGTGGTGGTGGCGGCTGGCTGCAGGGGGTGGAGCCAGGAAGATTCTGGGGAACAAGTCTCGGGAACTTGGCTCTCCCTCGGTGCCCTCCCTCAGACCTGTGTCCTGCGCCCCTCCTGATTCTCAGACATGGCGTTCATGTCCATTTCTCTTCCAGAGGAGTTCCTGCTGCTGTAGCTATGGCATCCTTCAGAGCAGGGCCCCTTAGACACGTCTGCTGGATCCCATTAATAGAAGATGCCCCCCATTGTCACACACACCGCTATTTCATGTATTGCTAGGAAGGAAAAACACACTGTCGATCACACCGTGACACGGCATCAACTGTAAGACTTGCTGCTGGCAAATGACCCTAGTGGTTTAAGTCCATGGCAAGTCTGGAATGGCAACCCCAGTGCCCTTCGTGAGTTCCTGGATGAGCTACAAAGACAAGTGCAGGCAATGGGAGCTCAAGAGGTCAACCTGTCGTTTCTTCTCCCTGGCTCGAGTCCCCTGTCCCTTCCACTGATCCCTCAGGGCTGCTGCTTCCCCTGTGGACGTGGCCATTTGGAACTTGGCTGCTGAAGGCCAGGGCCCCAGACAGTGCCAAGTGAGATGCCCAGCCTGGGTCTTGAGCTGTTCTGGATCACAAGGAGCCCCCCATTCAAGATGCCTGCCATTGGGCTGGGGAAGTACATTCTGTCCACACTGCTGGAGAGTCCTTCGGGGGACCCTAGGGAAGCCAGAATACCTCCCTTCTGGGGCCAAAAGCACCTTTCCATGGACTAAAGTGGAGGCAGAGCTGCCTCTGAAGGGGAATTGATTTTTGCTTCCTGTGGCAAGTGGGCAGACAGGCCTGGTCTTGGGGGCCCGGGGCTTGTAGATACCCTGTGCCCACCCATGCCCTGTGAGCTTCCAGAGCTGCACACCTATCCTTTTCCCTGTGATCAGAAGTGGACAGAGATGCCAAGGCCCCATAACCACCCATTGGTCACTCATCTACCAACCAAGGTCAGTAATGCTGTCATTGCAAACGTGCGTGTGTGCTTGGCACTGTTCCTGTGCTTCATCATGGTGACTCAGCTCATCCTTGCAACTGCCCTAATGAGATAGGGAGTAGAATTACCACCACCCCATTTTAGAGTGAGGAAACTGAGGTACAGGAAGGTTAGGTGACTTGCTCGGGTGTCACATGGATGTTAGATACCAAGTCAGGATCAGGTCTTGCAGGCTGGTTCTGGAGTTGGTGCTCACCAGCCCTCCCTGTGCCGTGGGATGTGGCGGTGGGAACAGGATTGAGGGGCTGCTTTTCTGGGGCTGGTGTGAGTTACAGGGTCTCTTGGTCCTCTGCCCACCCTCCCTCCCCTCCTTTTCTGGCTTTTGCTTGGATACTCCTGCAGCTGATTGACAACGCCAGTTTATAGTTCACATCCATCCTGTGAGGCAAGCAGCTCCTGTTAAGCCCATTTCGCAGGTGGGAGCTCTAAGTGGTGAGACAGCCTGGGTGAAATCCACAGCTGGAGAGTGGCAGGACATGATTGAAGCCCCATCTGGACTTCAGAGCCAGTGCACCTAGCCTCTGCTCCCCACGGCCTGCCTGCCATCCTCCCTCCTCTCCCTTCCTCTCTCTTGGGGTGGTGTAGGCACTGGTGCCCATCAGGGCTGCCTTGACATCTTCAGGAGGGGCCTGGGAAGGCTTCTCTCACTCTTGAGGCACTTTACCACCTATGGAGAATAGAGCGCATTTGCAGACGTCCCACCTGCTCTCCAGAGACCACACACAATGCTTTCAGGGACTCCATGCTTACTATGCACTAGATACTGTTTTAAGCACTTCGTAATTGTTAGTGTCATTTAAACGTCACAATGATTCTAAGGAGTGAGCTTAGTATTATGCCCATTTGATAGGTCAAGAAACTAAAGCCCAGAGAGCTTGTTTAATTTGGCCAAGGTCACATAGCTAGCTGTAGGTGGTGGAACCCAGAATGTTGAGGTCCCTCACCATGAACCCCAGGGCATCAGCTGCCTCCTAGGGTCAGGAGAGTGAGAGGCGGGGCTGCCTCCCAGTCTTACCTGGCTCTGCATGTTGTCCTGAGAGGTTTGGACTTCCTGTGGGAGTCATGAAGAGTTGCAGCAGGTGTGCTGACCCAGTCCACTGCACCGCAGGAACTCCAGCACATGGCAGGGGCTTGGCAGCTATTTGCTGAGTGAATACTGGGTGGATAATCAAAGACCTTGGTACCTAAGATGAGAATGGATCGGAGTAGGGGGAGCCTGGCAACAAGGATGCCAGTTTGAAGGGGTGCAGGAAGGCCTGGTGAGCTCGTTTTACACATTTTGGGCTATGCATGCTTACGTGTTTCATGCTGAGAAGTCTGGGAAGTGCTTGGAAGTCTGGGCCAAGGCTCAGAGTTGGTAATTGGGGTCAAAGGCGACCTCCCACCACCGGCACAGCCCCTAGATGAGGGCTGAGGACAGCAAGATGGGGTTAGTGAGGCGGCAGCCCAATGGCACAGTGGTTAAGTTCACACGTTCTGCTTTGGCGGCCCGGGGTTCACTGATTCGGATCCCAGGTGCAGACCTACTCACTGTTTCATGCTGTGGCATGCTGTGGCAGGCGTCCCATATAAAATAGAGGAAAATGGTCATGGATGTTAGCTCAGGGCCAATCTTCCTCAGCAAAAAGAGGAGGATTGGTGGCAGCTATTAGCTTAGGGCCAGTCTTCCTCAAAAAAGAAAAGAAAAAAGATAGAGTTAGTGAAGAGCCTGGCTCCCTGCCAGCCCAAGAGCCCAGATTCCTGGGTTCCCCACCCAGCTCAGCACCTGCTTGTCACAGAGACCCTGCCTCGGGTGAGGGCACCACCTGAGAGGTGCAGCCCCAAAGAGATGAGTTTGCTCCTAGCTGTGCCCCTATTCCTCCTCCCCTACGGAAGCCAGGACTCATTGCAGCAGAGGGGGCAGTTGGTACTGCTGTAGTCCTGCTGTCAGCCTCAGGAGGAGGTGGTCCCATCCAGCCTGCACTGCCCTTGCCTCCCTGGCTGTGCACTGAGCCTCTGCTCCCAACAGCCCCCCTGCTTTCTCGTTTCTGACAGGCAGAAGGCCCTCCCTGCACCAACACCCCAAATTAGAAGGGATCCAAAAAGAATGCAAAGTGCAGCCAAAGTTCCTTTCCATGCCCCTCTCCGACAAGCATCGGAACCTCTCACTGCCGAAAGCTGGATGGCATTAGTTGACAGCTGTGCAGGTGGGCTGTACGTACATGGGGCTTGGGCAGCAGGAGGCCAGGCTCTGCCATGATGCACCAATTGAAGGTCCTCTGTCGAAGAGGGGAGGCCGTCACGCGCTGCCCAAGGTTGTCATGAGGCCAAGTAAGCTGCTCATGTCCCTTTCCCCCTTGTAATGGGGGAAAGGGACATGAGATCATAGCTGCTGTTTCAGTCTGGTGTCCTCTGTACAAAAAGGGGGCCCTGGGGACCACCCCTGTTACCACTGGTGAGTAGCACTCATAGGACGAGGTAGGAGGCTGACTATGATGGCTGTCCAGACATAGGAGAGGCACTCCTGACCCCACCTGCAGCAGGTTAGGATGGCTGGTGTCTCTTCCTGAAATTGCCCCCCCTCCTTGCTGCTGGGTGTGCTCTGTGCCAAGCACATCAAGCCTTCCCATCCCTCGACTCTTCATGCCTGATGCCCCAACAAGTGCACAGAGAAAATAAATGCAGGACCAAAGTGGTATGCAGGCAGGACCCACCTCATTGGAGCAGGCACACTCAGCTCAGCTGTGCAGACAGCCCAGATCCAGGGACCCACCTGCTGGGCTATCTTTCTTTCCTCGTGTAATCTGCTACCTGCCTCTGTGTGTCTGTCTGTCCTCCTGGGTCTCTGACAGTACCCAGGCTCCTTTTTGGCTGCAAATCCCACATGTTGTCATTAGCCGGCATTTGCCTCCGGACAGGTTGTGTTGGTTTGCACCATGATGAAAGCATGCACTGTGTCCACCCTCCGTGCCTCTGCCTGCCATGTGTCTGCCAGCGTGGCCTCTGTGCTAGCCGGATGCTCAGGCTGGGGTCTGAGGGTGGTGCCTCCCTCACTCCCATCCTTCCCTTCTTGGTTGTAGGAACATGGCTGTCCTGGCATCTGTGTTGTGTTGTGGCCGCCTAATACATACGTCACATTTGTTTGCCACATCCCAGGCCCTCCACAGCCATGCTCTACTATGCCACCCACCTCTTTGTTCCCTTTACAAAACACCACTCCACTAGTAATAGGAAGACAAGGGCTGTCCTTGACCAAGCAGGGGCCCTTGAGATTGGAGAAAAGCTCTGACTGCCCCCTGGTGCCCCCTATCCCCACCTGCATGTTGTGGTGGCCCCTGGGGAGGAGCAAAGGCTGAGAGAGGCAGCCATGGGCAGGGTGGGCAGTGGGTGGCACCATCTGTGGCTGTCCTTTGTGCTGGCAGCCAAGCAATCCCTCCATCACTGCAATCCGGCAGCCCTCGTGCTTGGAGTACAAATGAGTTTCTGATGCCCAGTGCCCCCTGCACAAGAGGCAGTAACTAGGGGCCTGGGAGAAGAAGGGAGAAATCTGGAAATTCATTTCTGTTTGTTCTAGCCCCTCTGAATAGGCTGCCGCCCCATCCAGCTGCAGCAGATGTGTGCTGGGCTACCACTTTAGGGGCATTTTTGCCACAGTTTCTGAGCAGACTCATGCTCAGGGTGGGGTCTCCCCTCTCTGGTATCCCCTCCCTGTGCAGGTGGTGGCAAGGTAAGCCCCACACAAAGGGACAGGGTACATCTTTAAAGACACAGCTTGCCCATTGACACCTCTTCTTGGAGGGAGGGCCAGGTGCCTTCTTGGGAGGGCGCACAGGCTGGATTTCAGCCCTGCTTGCCTTTGAGCACCGCACAAGCCAAGCAACATACCCAGAGCAGCCCTGGAAGGACCCCTTCCCCCCCGCCCCACCCCATTCCCCTCAAGAACCACTGCCCTTCCTTTGCCTTCGGCCCCTGGAACGTGGGCACCTCCTTCACAGCCAGCTCACAGCAAGACTAGATGGATGGGGTTCTCCTGCTGGTCCTAAAAGCTGCCTCCCGACCCCTGCCCACCCACTGTACTCTCCTGATAGAACTTGCCTGGACTATGAGCAGGGGCAGAGCTTGGCAGGGTCTGAGAGGGTCCCAGCCCTGCTTCTCAGGGCCTCAGGCTGATGGGGGACCCCATCTGGGATCTGGGCAATGTGAAGTGGCAGCCCTGTGCAGCTGCTCCTGGACATCACGTGTCTAGGTGTCTTCCCGCAGTGCTGGGAGAACATGGTGAAGGGTGTGATTCAGGCGAGGCCTGAGGGGTCCTCATTGAATGGAGGGGCTGGAGACCATGGCCACTGGGAGTTTTGCCTTCTGGAGGGTTTCATCTCCTCCCCTACCTTCTGGTCCAACCTCACGCCCCACCACCAGTGCCTGGGGCAAGGGCACCATCTATGTCTCTGCCCCTCTCTGACGGTGGTTACTGTGAGCAAGTGACTTTGCTTGCCTGAGCCTGTCTGCTCACGTCCAGGATGGGGATAATAGCTGCTGTCCTGGATCATGTTGGGCAGATTCGTGAAAAGTATGCAGAAGCGTGTTGTACAGCATCCAGATGGAAGACCCTGGAAAGGAGGAGATGGGCTCTGCATCCGGCCCAGTGCCTGAGCAGTCCTGGTTCAAAAGGCCCCTGGTTCAACTTGACCCAGTTGAGTACTTCCAGCACTATCAGATCAGTCTGGCCAAAGCGCTCATGGCAGGAGTGGGGCATTGGCTGGGCGTGGTCACCCCCTTTTGCTTCCGTACAGTCTCAGCAGTTCCCCCATCAAGGCCCTGGGAGGAAGACAGGGCAAGAGTCTACTCCTCTTCTCCAGCAAGTAAACTGAGGCCCAGAGAGGGTCTCTGAGCTCCTCAAGGTCACACAGCAAGGTGGTGACAGACCACGCTTCCCGACTCCCTCCCCAAATCTCAGCTCTGTCATGCACTTTGGAAGGACTGGCCAGACACACTGAACCTGAGGGTAGTTTTGGCCTCTGGTGGCCACGTTGGGACAGTGAAGAATGAAAGAAAATCATGCTCTCCCCATACCACACCACCTCCTGCACCAGATTAATTAATTCCAGCTGCTTTTCTCTTTGCTTTTAAGGCTTCTCTCTCTAAGCCTGGATGTGGAAGTTCTCCTGTGCCTTTGGTGCCCCTAGGAGACTCCAGCTTAGCCCCTCTACCCTGGGCCACTCTCTGGCCTGGAAATCCTTTGTCCTGCCAAATGTTTGTGCCCAGCGGTGCAGGGGCCGATCGCAGATCTGACCAGAAGTCGTGTGCGTACAGGCTCAGCTCTCAGTGAGAGGGCACTTTGCGGGGAGGAGCTTCAGGGAGAACCCTGCAGGCACTCCTGGGGTGTCAGCAGGCTCGGGAAGCCTCTGGATTTTAAACCTTGTGATTTGTGGCTCCACCCATGGGAGAAGCCATTTTGAACTGATTGTCCAGAGACCGAGGGGGTGAGCTTCACTGAGAAGTCTGGGGGTGGCCAGCACTTCCAAACCTCCCCCCACATAAGGTCTGTATATGGGCCCGTCTTTCCCTCTCCCGTCTCCCCTTGGCACCATCTCTGCTGTCGGCTCCATTGTTTTGACTCTCCTCTTTGCCATTAAAATCTGCCCCCCTCTGATCTACTCTTGCTTTTCGGTCCTCCTTTGGTAGTGTTAGTCCCACTTTACAGGTGAGAACACTGAGGCCTCCTGAGCAGGCTTAGTGACTCTCCTGGTGTCACACGAAGGTGAGAGCAAAGCCAGTGTTGATAACACCCAGTCTCTGAGGGTGAGGGGGAGTCGGCATGGCAGGGCGTGGTGGCCAAGGTGCCCACTGACCATCCTGTCCTTCCTTGCAGCACTGCTGTCCTCCTGGTGCGAGGAGCTCGGCCGCCTGCTGCTTCTCCGACATCAGAAGAGCCGCCAGAGCGATCCCCCCGGGAAACTCCCCATGCAGCCCCCCCTCAACTCCATGAGCTCCATGAAACCTACTCTGTCGCACAGGTGAGTGGGTGTGTGCCACTGGGCGGGGCTGCTTGGGTGAGCACTGGGCAGTCTGCCCCAGGGCCCCTAGATCTCCTTGGAAAGGCCCCTGAGATAGAAGAACTGGGGTGGGGGCCTCTGACCAGCTGTGGGGATGACCTTTTCTAAAATACAGTTGTTTAAATCCTTGGGAGAGTACTGTTTCCCGCATCAAAACAGAGCTTGAAAGTGCTGGGCTTACCCAGCCTGACTGCTCTGTACTTCGCTGGAGGCCGTCTCTTTAGGTTCTAGACTTTGGGCAGAAAGTTAGCATTCCTGAACCCAGGGCCTTCCCTCTTTCCTGCGTAGGCTCTGGGGCAAACCCAGAGGAATCGGGGCTGGAATGGGCTCAGAAAGGTCACAGGGCCAGTGGTCCCACCCCAAGACAGGGACAGAGCCAGCCCAGACTAACCAGGCTGTAGCCAGGTGAGGCTGGGCCACCAGAAACCCAGGGTCACAGCGGGAACAGGTTTGCCAGAGGCTGCCAGGCACCAAGGGATTGGCCAGTCCACCCTGCACCAGCCTCAGAAGGAGCACATGGTCAGGACTGGCAGTTCCCTCGGTTAATTATCTCACAGGTCCCTTGCTTAGCTGGGGACACGCTCTCTGAGCGCTGTACGTGCTGACCCCGGAACAGCAGGGCCTATCCTCCTGTGTGGTCTCCCTGTGTTGGTACCTGCTGATGGCCAGCAGGGGCATGTGCAGTCAGAGCTCGGCTCTCACTACTCAGCCTGACTGAGGCACCCGCAGCCAGAGCACCATCAAGGCACTGCCAGGAAGTCAGGTGTTGGCCCTACTTTGTAAATTGAATTAGAGGGTGTTGCAGCCAGAGGGACCTCAGAGCTCCTGGAGCCCAGTCCCCTGCCTGAGCAGGATGGCCCTGATGTGGGGCTCCCTGCCTCGATCGGAAGCACTTTTCAGGACAGCAAGCCCAGCATCGCCACCCAGGGTCACTGCCTCGGCACACCCTCGGTCAGGCCCAGGACAGCTCTGACTCTTAGAAGAGGCCCCCATGGGTGTTTCTCAGAGGGACGTTGGCATTCGGGCAGGTTAGTTTCTCACAGTGCAGGACTTTGCAGGGCATTTATGCCTTGGTCCCCGCCCACTCAATTCTTCCCATGCCCCCCAGGTGTTGCAAAAGTACCCTTGCACATTTAAGGGGGTGGGGTTTTCACCTGTGGTTAAGAACCACTGCTCTAGAGAGGCAAAACCCAGCTCTGTCTACCTCCCACCCCTTGCCCCTGGCTCAGCTAAAAGCTGCAGGTCATCTCCATCTGAACTGCTGCCTGGCCACTGAGCACAGGCTGCAGCTGGATGCAACCTAACCTACCTACTTTTTATTGACTCTTGTTACGTTTTAGCTCATTAACTCTCCGTCCTGCCAGAATCATCCTGCCTCTTATCATCCCAAGTCTTGTGTCCTTCGCAGCCTTGTCTCCTCCAAGTCGTTTCAGTAAAGCTGTTGCTGATGGTGGCCAGGGCCCCTGCAGCCTCCACTAGATATCTGCCTCAGACCTGCTTGGCCATGACCACTGGGGCCACAGAGTGCCACAGATCTGGACCATGGCCAGCCCTTTGCCAGGTCTTTGCTGAGTTGAGTTAAAGGCGTGAGACTGTTGGGTCCTGGGGTTAACACATGAAGGGTGGCTGTGCTCCAGGAGCTGAATCACCCTAGTTGGGGAAATAAAACTCAGTGAGGCAAGACTGGGAGCTGGCAGATGGAGGCAATGATAGGGTTGGATGACAGGTGGCTTGCCCTCAGGTTCAGAAGGAAGAAGGTGGCTAGCTGACTGTCAGGAGGCTGCCCAGAGGACAGCCTTGACCTTGAAGGACTTGAGCTGGGAGCTGGGCAAGTGCATTCTATGAGTTCAAACTGGCTTTCCCAAGAAGTGCTATGGGCTAAAGAGCCATTGGCTGGTACCCAGTGCCCTGCCACCTCTGCCACCACCATTGATTCAACTCCCTGTCACACAGCGGTAGAAGGGTAGAGAATGCAAAACAGGCAGCTGTCAGAGAAGGGAGAGCTTTTTCTCTGGAGACTCATTAAGTATTGATGGATGACCGGGTGGTTCCATGGAATGCGCCCTCCTCATGGAGCACAGTGAAGTGGCGAGCATTCTGGACAATACGTCCCACCATGAATGGCAGAACTGGAAAGGAAAGTGGGCCCAGAGCAGGACAGTGACTTGCCCAAGAACACATAGCCAGTAAGGGACAGGGCACAGCACTGAGTCACACTCAGTGCTCTGTGCTTCACCCTGCTGCTGACCATTCAGGATCAGTGAGGTGGTATCTGGTTGTTGACCCAATTTTAATGCACACTTCATCCTATTTCCCATTTTATAGTGGGGCAGTTGAGATCAGAAAGAAGTGTCATCAGTTGAACAAGGACCAAGCCACTCCCTTCAGGCCCAGGCATGTTCCAAGGGCACACTGTGACCAGTGATTCCAGGTTGGCCAGTCTCTACTTGTAACTTCATGAATTTCCCCAATGGGGAAATCCCTCATTTCCAGGGAAACTCGAATGGGGTCCATTACCTTTTAAGGGCCTCATGTAATTTCCCAAACAGGAAGGAAAGAAAGGGGAAGAGAAAGTCAACTACTTTCACAGATTGGAAACTATTCCAATTGTCATCCACCATAATGTCATTGAATGACTTGCCTTTTCATTAAGGAAACTTTTAGCCAGGATGAGCTTGGGGACCCTGGGATGTTCAGGATTTGGTGCTCAGAGGTGCACGACTGTTCAAGACTCAAGCGTCCTTGTCTGAAGGCTCTGAGGACAAGCAGACAGGAAGAGGTGAGGGAGCCCGGAAGTGTGAAGCTCCTGGCTTTCTCTGAGGGCCCTGTGACTCTCATGTTTCTGTAGCTCAGGCTTCGTGGTCACGTCCCCTGCCAGCAATGGGGGCTGGCACCACAGCACCAGGCTGTGAGTCGGGGCCTGTGCCTCCAAGCAAGACCAGTGAGCACATGGTGGAGCTCGGAATCGTGAGTGAGATGTCAGGAAAGGGTCAGGCTGCTGCAGCCCGAGACAGTTTCTGAGGGTGCTGGTGCACAGAGGAATCTGGAGTACCCCCACGTTTGGATAGAACCTCATGGTTTGTGAAGCAGTCTTTGGACTCGCACCCTGTGTGGTCCTGACCACTGAGCTGAAGGTGGGTGCTGTCCTCTCCACTTCACAGAGGTGCACAGAGCGCCACATAGGAAAAGGGAGGCCAGGGGAGGCCAGCCCAGGGCAGCAAGGGGCCTTGGGCCATTGGCCAGGCAGCAGGACCCTTTCACAATCCCTGCAGTGACCTGGACTTAATGCCAATAAATATTTCCGCCTTCCTCTCCCAGATTTTTAATGAGTGGTTAAAAAAGCCATTTGTGATCACCACATTGCCTGTATACAAATCAGTGCTGCAAAGGTAATTAAAAGCCTAATAAATCTTGTTTATACTCTTAATTTGATCACAATCGGAGCCCGCTAGAGCTGGGGGAGACTCCAAGACTGAAGGGTGCCACCATTTTCTCGGGAGGGATTTGTGGCCCCCAAAGGAGAGGTTCCTGGTAGGGGGCCCTCATGCTCCCCTGGATCCACCTGGATGGGGCCCTTGTGTGCCACTCAATCCTGGGGCGGAGGGCCTGGTGCTTCCCTCTCTGCAGCATGTTTGACAGGTCCTGGAGCCAGGCTGATGGGCCTCAAGTTTCATCCCTGCCATTTTCTAGCTGGATAACTTTGGGCAGTTTCATAACCTCTCTGTGCCTCATTTCCTCATCTGTACAAGTGGAACAGCAGTGCAGGACTTAACAATGTGCTCATCACCAGGTCCAGGGAGCCCCATGGACCAGTAATTATTCCCTGTCCCTCAGCCTGGTGCCATCAGACTCTGATGTGCTCATTGATAGTCAGCTAGCAAAGAAGAGGTCCATCAAAACTGACCGCCAGTCTTCTCCTTTCCTTGGTCACATCACACCACCTTCACTGCTTTCATTTTTAGATTTTTTTTTCATAGCTGTACCTGAAGTTCAGCTTGTAATAGATGCTTTTTCTTGCACCCAGAAAATGAAAAAAAAAAAGCAACAAGAGGGGGATTGAAGGACCCATAAATCCTGCTCCATCATTCCAGATTGCCCAGATGCAGGATCTTTTCCTTTCCTCCTTCCTACTGAAAAAATTTAAAATCCTTTAATATGCAGTTTAACTGCACAAGTTCCTTTCTATGTTTCACCGCAGGGAGGGGAGGAAGCAGGCCCCAGTCGTTGTGATGATGGAGAGCACTGTTAATGGCTCCCCTAAACTAAAGAGGGTGAGAGCTTCAGCTCCTCACCAGCTTGGTGTTCCTTAGTGGTTACACTGCAGCCTTGCACAGAGACAGGACCAGTATAGCCAGGTCAGGGAAATCGATTAGGGTCCAACAATACCCTCGATAGGAATTTGTTATTTCTCACAAATAAAGTGGGAGAAGTACAAGGGAAGAAATAACTCAGCCCTCCCCTCCTCTTCCCTCCGTGGATGTCTGTGTAGACACTGCCACAGGAGGTGCCCAGGAACCAGGAACCATCATTCCCTCTTTCTGGACTTTACTCATTTTCCCACATTTAGCAAACATCAGTCAGCGCCCATGGAACTGGCAAACAGACGTGTAAACTGTCCACTATAACTACAGTGCGGAGAGCTCTTTATAAAAGGTTTGAAAAAATACTGATGACACAGAGGGAAATGCCCTTGGTTCTGCTTAGGAGAGTCACGAAAGGGACTATCAAGGCTGGGCTTTAAAGGACTTCACTAGATAGAGAAGGGAAGGCAGAGGAACGCTGAGGAAAGTTTCAAGGCTTGGAAAGTATGTTCAACAGGCAGGAATGATAATAACACTCCCTCCCATTGATAACATATTTACAAAACTTCTAAGTACCATCATTGTATCATCAAGTAAATCTAGGACCTACACTGCAGTCAGGCTGGAGAAATGGAGAGAAAAGTGTAAGCACAGTTGAGC